AAACTAGCTACTGCTTAGACTATATAGCTAAGCTCTGCTTATTTCTGCCGTTTGAATGGAAGGCAACTAACTGCAGTGCAATAAAGACATCGAACTAGCGGTAGGCAGCGGCTTGGTTCTGCCCCTGGCACTGCTGAAGTCCATGGGCGACGGTAACCACTCACCATCAGGTGGGCCGTATGCTCGTCTGCCTACAAGGGCAATAAAAAATAAATAAATAAAAGAACTTAAGTTGGGTGACCAATTTCACGTTGTGTATGTAGTCTATAGGCTTGGGTTACCACTTAACATCAGGTGGGTTATAAACTCATTCTCACCCATCGTTGCAATAAAGAAATCTAAATAACAATTAATCTGAATTACGTTGATTATAAAAAAAACCTCACCAAAAACCTTGTAAAGAAACTATTGTTTAAGCATTTAAGTTACCGTCACTACGATGTATTGAATACTTTTTGTAATGACCAGATTTTACTTTTTTCAATTTACACAATTGTCTTACTAACAATACCTAGTTTGTGCAATGGTAAAGGCTTACAGTTGATATAATTGTGTAGATGTAAAATATATACGATATAGATATTATCGAGCGGGATGTTAGAATGAGATACGGCCATCTTCTATTCGTCTTCTTTTTGAGTATCTTCTAAGTATCGCCTCTAGGGGCTCTAGGCAACCAGCTGATGCACCTTTGAATAGTATTTAACAATACGATTATAACGGTGCAATACGGTTATAGTGACGGCTCCGTAAGTCGATATATACGAAATATTTCGAATATACTGTGTCATAGAGCATGGAATAGCTTGTAGTGTGACTTTCGTATCTGGCGGAGTGTTGTTTTTTTTATTGCTTAGATGTGTGGACGAGCTCACAGCCCACCTGGTGTTAAGTGGTTACTGGAGCCCATAGACATCTACAACGTAAATGCGCCACACACCTTGAGATATAAGTTCTAAGGTCTCAGTATGGTTACAACGGCTTCACCCCGGCCCCACCCTTCAAACCGAAACGCATTACTGCTTCACGGCAGTAATAGGCGGGGCGGTGGTACTTACCCGTGCGGACTCACAAGAGGTCCTACCACCAGTAAGTTTTCGCTCCATCTTAACATTTATAAAGTTCATATGAACAACCCTTTTCCTACGAGAAACCGCTCGTCTTAGTCGATAAAGAAGCGGAATAACTAAAAGTTAATTTAAGGGCAGAGCTAGAGGAGAAATGTTTACCCTCCAAGCGCAGTTAACAAGCAGACTTAATGGGCTTAGTACAGGTGGTCAAGCGAAAGGCTTGACAGTAATGAGAATCGCCGATCCAGCGACTCGGGTGAGGCTAACGCGTTACTCACAGCCATTAAGTAATTTGATTTTTTGAAGTGAAACTTCTTTGGGCGCGTTGAGAGTAAAATTTAGCTCGCGGCACATTCGTTACGACTAGAGAGAAAAGATACAATTTAGGACGAGCGAGAGTGAGAAAATAGACAGAGCGTCTCGCGAACCACTCGACCTTGGAGCGAGGGAGAAAGCGAGCTAGGTCGTTTCCCTTATACACATTCTGTTTACGGGCGTCGTCCACTAGATGGCATATTAACTATCGTATATTTAATTTTTAAGGAAAGATTTTTAAAATATCACTATACTACACACCGCAAAAGAAGCTTCACTTCTTTTACGTGCACCCAAGTTACGCGCGCACCGTTTTTTTTTTTATTCTTACACTGCGCCGATCATGAAACATTAATGAAATGCAATGTAATTTATCAGCCGCGATTTATTTACGCGTAACAAAATAAATGTTCATAAAAAAAAACACATTCACAGTTTAAATGGCACGCTTTATTGTACCGACTCCGGTATATTGCGTAGGTACGCTGTTTACGGAATGTCTCAAATTTTTATTCCGATTTCCGGACAGAATTGTATTCGGAGACGAAATTAAAGACTAAACTTGAACACGAATTAGAAGATACATTATCATAATAATTATAAATGGTGATAACGCGACCACAATCTACACTATCTACCTGATTGACTGGCTGTCAGTTTCGCTACGACAACGACAGCGACAGGTCAACAATGCTCTTGTACCATCTATCAGTTGTTCTTTTCAATTCATACGTAATTTGGTATGACCAGCAATATGTGGAACTACCTTCGGACGCAGAGAACACCACGCTATTCAAAGGGAGGGGTAATTATTTGACGATGTGGTGCCTTGTGAGTGATGTTTTTGTTCTGTGAATTATTTATTTTTATTTTTGACGTTATTTCTAGTCTTTACAGGTGATAGGACATCTTGTGAGTCCGCACGGGTAGATACCACCACCCTGCCTATTTCTGCCGTGAAGCAGTAATGCGTTTCGGTTTGAAGGGCAGGGCAGCCGTTGTAACTATAGTGAGACCTTAGAACTTATATCTCAAGGTGGGTGGTGCATTTACGTTGTAGATATCGATGGGCTTCAGTAACCACTTAACACCAGGTGGGCTGTGAGCCCTTTTAAGGAGGTTATATGAAGAAGGTATTGCGGCCGTTCGAGTGGACGACACATTTTCAGAAAACTTTAAGACCGAGGCCGGATTACGACAGGGATGCATCTTATCACCGTTGCTCTTCAATATCTACACAGAATACATTATGCGCATTGTCTTGGAAGAATGGGATAAAGGTATATCAGTTGGGGGACGAGTGATTAACAACTTAAGATACGCTGATGACACTACCCTTCTCGCACAGACTAGAGAAGACATGGAAATTCTACTGACTCGTCTGGAAGCTACCAGCCTTAAATTCGGACTTGCTATTAACCGGGACAAGACGAAGATGATGATAGTAGACCGGGCTGAACAAAATGGAACCAATGTACAAAACATAGGTAATTGCGAAGTTGTACAGACCTACATCTACCTCGGCTCTGCTATCTCAAGCACTGGAGGATGTGGTGAAGAGATCAGACGACGATGCGCCATTACCAGGTCAGCAGTGGAACGGCTGGGAAAGATTTGGAAGGATAGGAGGATTACCAAGAAGACTAAGGTCAGATTGATGAAATGTCTTGTGTTTCCAATCTTTCTCTATGGAGCCGAAACCTGGTCTCTAAGATTGCAGGATCGCCGTAAAATCGATGCACTGGAGATGTGGTGCTGGAGACGCCTCCTGAAGATCCCATGGATGGCATTCCGCACCAATGCATCCATCCTCAAAGAACTCGCTATCAAAGACCGACTTTCGTCAACAGTGCAACTGAGGGTTTTAAAATTCTTTGGTCACATCTCCAGAAAAGAGCACTCGATGGAGAGACTGGTAGTCCAGGGCCAGGTGGAAGGCAGAAGATCACGCGGCCGCTCACCGACCCGCTGGACTGACCTAATAAAGAAGGCAACTGAGTCCACTATGGTCGAATGTACTCGTAACGCTTCGAACCGCCAGACCTGGAAGCGCATTGCCTGGAGGACGGTTGTCGGGAGCATGGGCGACCTAACAGGTCCTACTGCACATACAGCGTCAACGCAACCACGACCACTCTGACAAGAGTGTCCGACTGAGAAGAAGGGCTGTGAGCTCGTCCACCAATCTAAGCAATAAAAAAAAACATACTTAACGGAACTAAATTCCTTTCTGGTTACGCAAATTCTTCTTTATAAGACACGAGTGATTTTTATATCTAAGCCTAGGGAAGATGCCGAGTGGTCAAAACGAGAATAGTTTATAAGATCGGTTCAATTATCAGTCGTTCATTCGCAACGACTAGATTTATCGAAATCGCGCGAAAAACCAATCTGACGCACATCTCACTGTTTTTTTTTTTTTGTTATAAATAAGCACAAATAATTAGCATTTTTTTTTAAATTCAGAACAAATCCCGACCTAGTGCTTAACAAGTAATAACGAGGAAACACATTTCATATTAGTAAGAAATCAAATTATAGTGATAACTAAAAGTAATTTTACATTTACTGTACTGTTACGTTACATATTTTGATTATATTTTTATTGACCTTTCGAATACTTATAAAACTGTAGTTTTTGTGGTTACCGACTACTGTCTATAGTTATGTCAGTCACCAGATTAAACCATAAAAGTAGTTTTAATTATTTTTATTTATTTCTTTATTTAAATAAGTACTGCCACATCACAAACATCTACATTGAAAATAAATTTAAACTATTTAATTTATGGCCTGATGCTTGTGACAACAATGGCGTATATAGCATTGGCAATTCATCAGCTCGAAAATGGAATACAATAATAATAATAATAAAAAAACAGTACTAGTTGTTGATTTATTACGAATTATACGAATTATACGTAAATAAATAATCTACGACAGGCAAAACCAAATGAAACACTATCTGTCATTTGTGGCCATCTTATGCCTTTATTTATATACCAAAATACCACTTAAATCGACAAATGATCTTACAGCACTTCATGTATTAAGAAATCTGTAGAACCAGCACATACCACAACACTTGGACATTGTAGGCAGCGGCTTGACTCTGCCCCTGGCATTGCTGAAGTCGATGGGCGACGGTAACCAATCACCATAAGGTGGGTCGTATGCTCGTCTGCCTACAAAGGCAATAAAAAAAAACTTGCCCGCTGTGAGCCTTGACCAAAGTCTCAGTAGGGTTGCGACTCCTATCCGCTGGTAGTTTCACGGAAGCACTGCTCTTGCTAGGGCTGGTGTTAGTAAATTCTCTCAGATTAAGCCCATGAGCTCACCTACTCGTCGGCGAAAATCTGGAATAGCCCAACACCAGGGAATAGGTAGGCTAAGAAAGTGATTTAGTTTAATACGTATTCATTCATAAAAAATATCGCATCAACCCACGCCTACTCATAAACGATAAAACTCACTAACGAACGACCCCTACAAATTTTTTCGGGAATATCTAAAATAATCTAAACTTCGACACGATTTACAACATGCAGTATCGTTATTAATGATAACGCGATCGTGATTGACCCGATCTTACTGGCGGTCAGTTTCGCTCCGACAACGACAGCAACCGGTCAACAATGCTCTTGTACCATTTATCAGTTGTTCTTTTCAATTCGTACGTGATTTGGTATGATCAGCAATACGTGGAAATCCCTTTGCCGGACGGCATTAAAAACATGTCGTTCAAAGCGAGGGGTATCTTCTTGACGTTTTGGTGTTTCGTAAGTGATTTTTCTTTGGATTAAATTAAATTAACTACGTTGTTTTTTTTTTGTTCATTCAAGCCGTGAGTATAGTTTTAAAACAGCTTAATTACGAATGATAATTATATTTAATTGTATAAATTATGTTCGTTTGTGTGTTTATTGTGTTCTACACGTTTGAAGTCAAGTAATAGGATTTTTCAGTACTTACTTTCAATGCGCGGACGGGCCTGGTCTTCCATATAAAGTGAGAGGCTCCTGTAGCCAATAGGCACCACAACGGCATAGGTTACGTTCATCTTGAGACATGAGGTTGCATTCGTAATTGTATTGGATCACGGTTATACCACTTTTCAAACTAGAAATGAAGGTGGTACCAAGCCGTGCGTGCCGGCTCCGCCAATGAATATGCAAATTAAAAAAATGCGGTAAAAAATGCGGTTATAAAAAATGCGGTAATTCCGCGATTATAAAGATTCTTGGGGTCGATATTTCGAGCGGTGTTTAGTATCGGAGTGATTTCGAAGGTAAAGCTAAATTCTAAAATGTTGAGATTCATCAATAGAGCGAAACCGTACTTCACGCCTGGACAAAGACTTGTGCTACATTCAGAATTTAAAAAAGTACGTGGTTCAAAAATCTTGGTGATCTCACGTGTCGCGTGCGATGGACCTTGATTTTTTTTTTACTCATTAAATCATTATGACGTTGCAGTAAATCTATACTAATATTATAAAGAGGAAAGATTTGTTTGTTTGTTTGTTTCGAATAGGCTCCGAAACTACTGGACCGATTTGAAAAAATCTTTTTCCATTAGAAGCCGACATTGTCCCTGATGAACATAGGCTACTTTTTTTAATTTTTTTTTTTTTGTTTCAAGTGCGTTTTAATGTTTCCGAAGCGAAGCGAGGGCGGGTCGCTAGTGATTAATAAATTTCCTTGTTGTTGCGGTTAAAACTAATACCTACCACAACCGCATTAAAAATTAATTGAAAACCAAATTATTAACGATTAGTTATTAAATTTAAATATTAGTTCATCGCTATTATGGTCAAATTGAAAGGATTATAATTTTTTAACTGCTAAATAAAATCTGAAATCGTCATAACCTAAACTATAAGACGCCCGTTGTATTTGTATCAAGCGATCCGACAATTCCCGCGTTCGAATCCCGCAGGCGGGCACCAATTTTTTTTTTTCCTGTCTATTCGCGAACTAGCTATACTTGAGACCTTAGAACTTATATCTCAAGGTGGGTGGCGCATTTACGTTGTACATGTCTATGGGCTCCAGTAACCACTTAACACCAGGTGGGCTGTGAGCTCGTCCCCCATCTAAGCAATCAAAATAAAATAAAAAAAGAATTTGCTTACAATAAACCTAACAAGAGCAATGCTTCGCAGAATTTACCACCGGATCGGAATCGCGACCCATTGAGAAGATCCGGCGAGAAACTCAATGAGTTATGTCTATGGATTAGTTTGCTAGTCGAACTCTTGAATATTAGTATCATCATCATCATCAGCCCACAGTCGTCCCAATCCAATCCACCACTGAGCCCGGTTTTCGGCTCTCCTCATTCCACCGCCTCTTGCCGACCACCCTTCGGAGTTATTAGTATAATTATTTACTACTGAATTAAATTAGTTAAACTATTTGCAGGCTCTACAAACAATATACTTCGGTACAGCAGTGTTGAACGACATCATCGGCACCAACGCTAAAGCGCCGAAAAACCCGCCCCTCATCAGAAGAGTTAAAGACATCGTCTTCAGTTCGGCGTTCACTCTAGCTTTATATGTGTTTGCCACATTTTGGGGCCTGTACTTGATCGACGAGGACCTAATTCTGCCGGCCCACATCCAAGAGGTTCTACCAAACTGGATAAATCACGGGATGCACACAACTATTGTACCTTTCATCATTTTGGAGCTTCTCTTGACAAACAGAAATTATCCAACGAGAAAAGTCGGATTATCTGTGACACTGCTTATTAATTTTACGTACGTATTTTGGATTCATTACTTGTATTTCACTCAAGGAACTTGGGTGTATCCATTTCTCGACCTTATGAACTGGCCCACAAGGATACTTTTTTGTTGTACTAGTAGCATTATAGGCGTACTGTTTTATATTTTAGGTGAAAACATTCATTATATTGTAACACCGAAAAAAAAGCTCAGTGTTAATGGATCTAAAAGAGATTAAATAAAGAATAGGCTATATCGTTTTGAAGTTTTCATTACCTACCTGATGGCACCTTAGGTACTTACATATTGACGGGTGAAAAACTATTTGGGAAGCGACATTTTTAGACCTATTTAAATTTTAAAATTTGGAAAAAGTATCATAACAAAAAACCGCTTCAGCTCAATGTGGTAAACTTTTGTGAGTCTGCGCGGGTGGGTACCACCACCCTGCCTATTTCTGCCGTGAAGCAATAATGCATTTCGGTTTGAAGGGTGGGGCAGCCGTTGTAACTATACGTGAGACCTTAGAACTTATATCTCAAGGTGGGTGTTTGGGGCTTACGACAAAGGGAAGATCTTCCAGCGAGCGGGTGATATTGCTCGGTAGACCCACGGTCCGAATGTTGTTGTTCGGAACTTGTATATATGCAAGCTTATCTTGAAAATGTCGTAAGCGAGATTCAGGCATCTGTCAAATATCTTGCGTTGTATGATGGCTACCCGCCACATCACTCCCCTCCGTTGGTGACCCCGACGTGATTTTATCTGCGTGTCATTTAGTTAGCGTGTTCACATCACGTCGGGGTCACCAGTTTGTAAGGTTTACGACGAAAGGAAGATCTTCCACCGAGCGGGTGATATTCGCTCGGTAGACCGACGGTCCGAATGTTGTTGTTCGGAACTTGTATATATGCGCTTTATCTTGAAAATGTCGTAATCGAGATTCAGGCATCTGTCAAATATGTTCTGTGATGGCTACCGCCACAGGTGGCGCCTTTACGTTGTAAATGTCTATGGGCTCCAGTAACCACTTAACACCAAGTGGACTGTCAGCTCGTCCACCCATTTAATCAATAAAAAAAAATAAAAAAAAAATTTGAAGTTCAATTGAATATGCAATTTCGAAAAGGGCACATGTCGCATATTTTGTCAAATACGTTTTTTCATATACACGTAGTTTTGAGGCTTACCTACACCCATTTTATAATAATTCCAGTAATTTTCAATTGCTAATTAACACTAAAATATATCTCAAAAGTTAATATTTTAAATTTTACACTGCTTTAGAAAATAATCAGTATTTTTCATTTCCTGAACATTTTATATTTTCAGAGATGTACCCTTTTCGAAATTGCATATACATATTCAATTAAAAACATCAAATTGTTGATACTAACACCAAAAAATAAAACGGACCTTTAATCACAAAGATAAATATCGCGAAACCCTATAATAGCCTTACACCACTCGATAAAATACTAATAGAAATGAGAGTGAAAATACTAAGCTGGATATGTAGTATTTTCTAGACAATGTGAACTCTATTTCTCATCATTGAAACGTAATCAAAACAGATAAAGATGCATTAATATTGAAACTTATACTGTTTCTATTTCTGCTAACCAATGGACAACAGCTGGGTGATCTGATATGAACTCGTGGCTTAATGGTCAAAAAGTCCAGTGTAGTGTACTCGCATTAATTTAAGTGACTGTGCCAAGTTCCAATTTTATTCCAACGGGAAATAATTATGGTGTAGTGAAAAATAAAGTTTTAAGATTTTCTACAAGAAAAAGATGACCGTTTACTTATTTAATACAAATTCAAATTTATTAGAGGCAAAAATTAAAAAACTACAACACATTGCATTATATGCTACGTAGTACATACATACAGACATACATACTATATTAACTTAAAGCGTGGAGACGCCGCGCCGCGCCGCCAAGCCAACATACGATGTGTGCTTAGTGCGGGTTTTTTAACGTTCTCGATAGCGTAAAAGTTAGCTCATATTTGTGTGGAATGGGATCGTTTGCCGCTACGGTCGCTGTTCCAACTGCATTCAAAATTGGGCTAACTTTTATGAATCAATAACGTTAAAAAACTCGCACTAAGCGCACAGATCCAGCGCTGTAGATGTTTCAAATCAAAAAGTTTACACACATAGATACGTTTCTACTTTTTTACATGTATAGAATGCCCTTTTACTTTCTTTCATCTTAGACATTCCTCTAGAAATTCTCCAACGTTTATTATTATGTGGCGTGAATACATCAATTCTGCAGAAAGAAAATCGTTTCAACATCAGCTAGCATCATGTAGTGCGAAATGCCTTAAGATAAATTATCATTTCTATTCAGATATAATGTATGTGAATAAAATAAACCAAACCTGCAGTGTTTATCAGTAAATACTGCTATAGACACACTACTGAGTTTCTCGCCGGATTTTCTCAGTGGGTCGCGATTTTGATCCGGTAGTAGATTCAACGAAGTACTGCTTTTGCTAAGGCTAGTGTTAGCAAATTCTCTCAGGTTGAGCCCGTAAGCTCACGAAAAGTTTCGTGAATAGCTGGAACAGCCCCTTAGGCTACCAGTGATTGGGCGGAGGTAGTGAATGAAAAAGGCACACAGATATTTGTACCAAATTTAATTTTATATAACAACTTCAGATTCAAAACCTTTTACAATAAAGTTTAATTCATCGTCCAACATCTCTTTTCTTTTTCTTCTGCTCTTTGACCTCTCCCATTTGAAATGTCTTAGGCCTAACGCTAATACTAGCTCATCATAAACTGTACAAAGACTATTGTAAAACATTAATATTGTAGTACTATCTTTGAGATACTGATTTACGAACACTTTTGGGTCATTCTGGGTATCCATTTTTACTGCAAAATTATAAACAAAGGTACCGTTATAAGACTTTCCATACTTTGTATTTTGATATGGCTTTTTACACAGTGTATTTAAATCATTGATTTGTTGCAAACAACACTGAAATTTGGCATATTTATGTATTTTATTCACATGATAATTGCTTTTGGGTCTCTTTTTAATCTTAGCATCAATCTCGAAATACTGTAAAAGCATTTTCGCTGCTATAAAGCAGTCTTCATGTTGAATTTTATTTTTGTTCAAAAATAATTCACCTTCTGTCAAACTCTGTAGTACAATCATCCTGTTTTTGTATTCTTCAATTGTTTTTTGATATTTCTCATTATAATACTTTTGACCTCGAATTGTACCAATGCTTTCATCAATCATCTCCAGCATAATGTAGCAAACAAATAAACTATGAACCAAGCCTATAGGTACTTCACAGGTGTTAACCCACCAGAGGATGCTGAGCATGTACAACTGGAAACTCTTAGGTAATAAATCAATTAAATTAAAATCTAACATTGGCATTTTAATTTTGAAAAAATTTTGAAAATATAGCCTTAATTGTTCATCTGTAAGATTTGAATATGGTACTTCTAAAGGTCTTGGTATTGAATATTCTCTGTTTATGATTAATCTGTGATAGTTGAGGCTTTTGTCTCTGCTCACATATGTAACATATTCTTGCTCGTAATCTGTAAGAATATCAAAAGAGTACCTCAATATAGGTAATGCACAGAGGAAAGCATCTTCATCATTATAATCCTCAGCTTGTGGTGAACCAAAATGTAAATGATGCGTGTAAAGATTTATACTACTGTGAGGGATTGTGTTGTTTCTTATTCCTTCTGCAAACCAATCAGGGATACCCAGTTCATTAGTATCATCTTCTTGATCAGAGCTATTCTCTTCTTCTGATAACTGTTCATTTGTATCAGAATCATATTGTGGACTTTCTATTGTCTCATTTTCATCTATTTGATTATTTGGTATAACACTGTCATCATTGTCATTACAATCTTTTCCCAATAATTCATTAAAATTTTCTGGTAATACAGAAACAATTTCTTCTGTATTTTCTGGAATATTAAAGTATTTCAATGAGCGACAGTTCTTTCTGTTGTAGCCTTCAATGCTTTTTTTAATAATATGAAATACTTTCTCCTTGCGGTTTTTCTTTAATCTTCCAATAATTTTCGAGATAGCCGTATCAATAGACTCATTCTGCAACCATTTGAATAGGCCCTCGATACATCTCTGTTGATCATTTTGTTTTTTTTTTGCCTTAGGTAATTTAAATTCAGAAAAGAATTTTCCAAAAACTCTCTTCTGCACAAAATCATTGCCAAGTAATGTGGCAAGCAGTGGTAAAATTTCCTGTTTGATTCCTTCAAAGCTATTAGTTAACTGTTCAAATCTGTATATTTTACAATTTAAGACATGTTTCTTAACACCATCTATTATAACACATCTCGGTTTAAAATCTACAGTGTTGAATGGAATATATAAAACGTTGTATATATAAAAATCTGAATCGTAACTCAGTACAGGACAGTTTAAATGTCTTGCCATAGCCGCGATTTCATCGTCTGCCTCAAATTCGCATACTGTGTACGCAACACCAATATCAATCAAAGCCTCTTTGAAAACATTACGTATGAGCAAGGGGAAGATCTGCATGCAACCTTGAGTAACTGGATCTAGGCATGACGCTCCATATATCTTAGATCTCAGTCTATGATATGCAGTTTTAAGTTTTCTAGTCTCGTAACTTCCGTCAAACAATACGTATGAGGTTATATTGCATTTCCGAAAATGTTTAAAGAATGTTCTTACGTACTGAAAAAATTTGTCATAATCGCCGCCGAAAGCAGAAAAACTGTTCAGACGCTGATATAATTGAGCACAGAGACTGTGACCGTCAATAACAACACAGGAATCGTATAATACAAAGTCTTTCAAAAAAATGTCCTCATTCTTGTTTATATAAGTAGTTAGTCCTCGTACTCCCATCTGGAAGGTAGTTTTGATGTAATATTTAAATGAAATCTGTTACTGTTGTTGTATATTTGCAAGTAAACGTTTGTATTTGTAAGAATAAAAAAAATCAGTAAATAAATAATTGTAATCTTCGTTTTTTTTCAACTGTCCATCAAATGGGCAAAGGAAACAAAGCCAATATGTATATTTTAAAATAAAAAGTTAAGTTATATCTTCTGTACGAAAAGTGATATTGAAGAAAATATACGTAGGTAATTATTTAAAATAAATGGTTAATACAAATATTTATTAAAAAATGAGGTTAACTTCTGTTACAATAAATTACTTCAATTTCGTAGGTAAGTATGTCACCCTTACCCCACGCCATATTGAAAGTTCAAACCATAGATTACGTAAAACGGTCGTTGTAACTCAGCATAGATAATAAATAACATTACGAAGAAAACCGCGTGGGGGAACAATACTATTAAACACGTGTTTTTCAATTTAAAAGCTATTTCTTTAAAATTGTCTGGCCTTACCTTGTATATCTTAACTTCGAAGCCTCAATAAACTTGTTTTCTGAAATCAGAAGGTATTTTCCATTAAAGAAGTAAGTAGTCTGTTATATGAATATACCTTGACACGATTTTTCGAGTGGTGAGAACGATCCGAATCTGTTTTTAGTCTCATCGTGTTATTCCAGAAATCAAAATGACCGAGGACAAAGAGGTAACTGTTGAAACCAATGGACAAGAGGAGAACGCGAAAATCGAAAATTCAGAAGACGAAACCGAATTGGATATTGCGATTATTCGGCAAGTCGAATATTATTTTGGTGAGTAATAACAATCTTAACAAGTTTAATAACTTATTCACACGCATCATTACGAGAATTTAAATCGAAGTCTTAATACTTATAATTATATTGACTTTTGCGTTCATAATAACAAGTGCCAATCTACATCATAATTTAGGAAGAGGGTAAGCTATTTTTACTGTTGAAGTCTTACGAGCCCATGCGGACTTGGAAAGATCTTGGGGCAGCTTCTTCTTTGTCGGTTTCACTCTTAACAGAGTGGTCGTGGTCATCGCTTCAGGTGTTGTTGGCAAGCTATCACTTCATCCTAAAAAAAAAAGCTTGCGACCCGTGAATTCAATTAAAAGTAATGAACAACCTGAAAAGTTCAATATGAATAAGACCGGACTGTCTGAAAGCGATAATTGTCTTGAGATTGATTTGTTTATTTGTAATTGCCTCACACAGATGTGTAATAGGAGTTAGGTTTCATTATTAACATTCATTAAACCTTTTACCAGGTGATGTAAATCTACATCGTGATAAATTTCTGCAAGAACAAATAAAATTAGATGACGGATGGGTCCCATTAGAAATTCTCACAAAATTCAATCGCCTTGCCAAACTGACAGAGGACACAAATGTCATCGCAAATGCCCTTAACAAATCTACGAGTGGATTATTGGAGGTAATTAAATAATTTGTTTTCTTTTTTTTAAATAGTGCTATGTTATCAATCCAAGTCAATAGTCTAATAGCCATGTCCATGCTTGAGACTAATGTCCAATATTGAAAATAAAAAAAATTATAGTGACTGACTTTTCACAAGAAATTAGGTGTTAATTTTGTTTTCATAACACTAAAAAATACAGATCATGCAATTCATTGAATATTTAACGTTACAGGTTTCTGAAGATAACAAAAAAGTGAGACGTAATCCAGAACAGCCACTGCCAGAAATGAATGAGGAGCTTCGTAAAGAAATATGCAACAGATCAATTTATGCCAAAGGATTTGCTAAAGATGCCTCATTAGATGATTTATTAACTTACTTCAAGCAGTTTCAGGAAGTTGAGAATGTAATTATGAGAAGATACGTTGAGAAATCCACAAAGAAACGCTTGTTCAAGGGTTCTGTATTTGCTACATTCAAGACTAGAGAACAGGTATGTGAATTTTAATTTTTTTATTGCTTAGATGGGTGGACGAGCTCACAGCCCACTTAGTGTTAAGTGGTTACTGGAGCCCATAGATATCCACAACGTAAATGCGCCACCCACCTTGAGATACAAGTTCTAAGGTCTCATGTATAGTTACAACGGCTGCCCCACCCTTCAAACCGAAACGCATTACTGCTTCACGGCAGAAATCGGCAGGGTGGTGGTACCCACCCGCGCAGACTCACAAGAGGTCCTACCACCAGTAATTACGCAAATTATAATTTTGCGGGTTTCATCTTTATTACACAATGTTATTCCTTCACTGTAGAAGTCAATCGTGAACATTTGTTGAGTACGTATTTCATTAGAAATATTGGTACCCGCCTGCGGGATTCGAACACCGGTGCATTGTTTCAACACGAATGCACCGACGTCTTATCCGTTAGGCCACGACGACTTCGACTTATGTACGAAGATTCTTAATTAATGTCATTATTTTACATTATCATGATTTTTTTTTATATTGCATCGTTAGTTAGAGGAGCTCACGGCCCACCTGGTGTTAAATGGTTACTGGAGCCCATAGACTACAACGTAAATGCGCCACCCACCTTGAGATATGCGTTCTAAGGCTTCAGTTCAGTTACAACGGCTGCCCCACCCCTCAAACCGAATGGCATTACTGCTTCACGGCAAAAATAGGCAGGGTGGTGGTACCTACCCATGCGGACTCACAAGAGGTCCTACCACCACTAATATATGAAAATTTTAATTATTACTGGTTCTTAGACTTGTGTCAATCAACATAAATAAAATGGAATGGTGTGTGTATCAGATGAGATAACAAATGGGGGGTACTCCACCAGCTCCTATATAAAAGAGTTCAGTTGTGGACTCAAGTTTCTGTAGGCCTTCCGTAGAAAAGATTTCCAGATAAAAAGTTTTTTAAAACAATTTTGTGTTTATTGTGTGTCCTTCAGATAGATGCATTTTTACTACACCCTGAACTATAAATATTCAACTTAAAGCATTGAATTTGAGCTCATTGATTACTAAGTTTTTCATGAACAATAATCATATTATTACAAATTTCAGGCAGAAAAGTTTATGAATGCAAAAGGGCACAAGTATGGAGATAATGAACTGTTAACACTCTGGCAGGAAGATTACTTACAGCAGAAACAAGAAGAATATTCAGATAGGAAAGATAAGAAAGAAAAAAAGAACAAAGACAAAGAAGTAAGTCATTTTAGTTTAAATAAAAATGAAGATAAGATTTTGTAAAAGTAAAGAGTAAAAATTATTAGTATTATTTCAATTAGCTACAAATGTGCAATATTATAAATCTGCTCTGATTGACTATAATTAATGTAAACCCTTTAAGAATATATTTGATATCGTTGTTTTTAAAATTTCATTGGAAATTTAATCATTACAGTCAAAACCGTTTACTGCGACATCGTTTAGAACAACATGCCGGTTATAATAACCTAGAACAAAGGTCCCGGCTGAATGCCATATGACCGCCTTATTAAAAACATTGCTTTATACGACATTGCTTATAACGACATACCTCATAAAACGACCACATTTAACTAAAATTTCGGAGAATTATATCTGTTAGAACGACCGGCTAAGCTGTATTGTAAACAATTTGAATAGGTATCCACATTTGTCTTCAATGGCTATTAAAATCAGGAAAGAAAACAATAGCACTTAGTTTAGTGTAGGGTTTTTTCTAATTCTTAGAAACACAACACGTGCATGCGGTAGAGTCAAAGTCCGCTTCTTCATATCTCTTCAGTTAGTTTATTACTTATCTATACACAAGACGCACCAAAACTTTGTGGATTTATTCGTGAAACTTTCAAAATGTCGCAAAGAAAAAGAAAACAATTTAATATTGAAGAAAAATCGCGTATTATGTAAATATATTTTTCCAATAATTCCCTATAGATTTGTTTGTACTTGCGTGATACACATTAAACATCACCGGTTTTTACGACTATCGGTTTTTACGACTGAATATGAGCAGTCCCTTCGATATCGTTATAACAGATTTTGACTGTAGTTCAGAAGAGTGCATTTCAAAGTAAGGGAAATGGATGGAGAAAAGGTCTTAAAAATACATTATAAAAAATAGATTATTGTTTCACTCCCACCATCCATAAAGCATTCTGATATCTGCAAACAAACTGTAAACAAGATCTCACAAATGTATTTTAATTTTAATATAAATATTAATCTGAAGAATCTTGAAATTCACTGATCTATTTGTATATGTAATTTGACTGTTTATATCTAACTAGTATAAACTTGTATCAGCTAATATGTCCACTGACACAGGGTCAACAACAACAAGAAAAGGAAGAATTAAAATTACCAACAGGCAGCGTCTTCCACTTTAGTGAAGTCAATGAGAAAATGAAGAGAGAGGACTTAAAGGATGCTCTCACTAAATTAGGTAAGTGTCATTAGTTAATATATTTGTGGGATTCTCTATTTAATAGAATATGGACCAATAAAATTATTGATTGCTTCACACAAACTTGATTTTAATTCCATCTTTATTATTTAAAGCAAAGTAAATAAAATATACACATCCTTTGTCTTTCGAGTTACACATATCTGTTCACTGTTGGATAGGGTAACTACCCTCACTCCTCCTCTCACATTAAAGAAAACTAAATGACAAACATGAATCTCTTGTCTTATATTCTAATGCATACATTCCCTATCTCTCTCACTGAGTCATGCATATCTGTTATTCATCCATACAATCTGTTCCTACACGCTTACGTTTTATTTATATATATTGCTACGAAAATGCTCAGCTGTATTTATTGTTATAAGAAATATGATTCATTTTAATATCTCAAAAATCTTTTGTGTAATGATACTTAAAATTAAGCCATCATAAAATATCCCAAAGATTATTATTAATGAATGATGGAAGATATAAATCAATATTTTCTACAAGTTAAGATTAATTAGATAAATAGTACATTATTATTTATGAAAATAAAGTTCTTCCTCTCGTTGTGGCATAAATGTGTATGTCTAGTTAACGTGGCGAAACTTTTTGTTTAGGTGCTGAGGTTGCATACATTGATTTCAAATCTGGTGACACCGAAGGTTGGGTGAGACTGTCTAAAGAAAACGCCGCTAAAGAAATGGTTGAAAAGATTGAAGATGGAAAGATTAAGATATGCGATTCTGAGGTCATCTTCAAACTGCTTGAAGGTGACGATGAGAAAGCGTATCTCGCCAAAACCGTGGAAGAGATGACCAAAAAACGCAGGAACATGAGGAATAACAAGTTCGGTAAAGGAAAGAATTTCAAAGGGAGACAAGGCGGTAGAAAGAGAAAGCCCGAAAATAATGAAGAGGCACCTCCAAAGAAAGTCCAAGCGCAGTAACCAAAATAGCCAAACTGCTCTTAGAATGTTTTGTGCTTCGGAGGCGATAGGAGCGTACCTGTAAACAGCATAAGCTAAATCATTTGTTAAAAGACTGCTTTGATTGATTGTTCTAAAATAATTCGTAAATCGTGGAAACTTGCATTCACAAGAAGAATTAGTGTTAATGGTACAAAGGAATAGTTGTAGTACATGGTTGTTTGTGTTAATAAACAAATAAATTTGTTTAATATAAATGCAGATATAAGAAAAAGGTATAAAAAAATAAGTTGCCTTACATAAATGTAAATTGTAATTACCTATAAGAGTATAACTGTTTTCCATTTCTTTAAACTTAATTATTAAATTTTATATTTCAAATTACCTTTTATTTCGAAGTATCTGTAAGATTCAAGTACAATGAACTGTGATATAATGTTTATAAAGGTAAATAAATAAATTACTGTGTACAAATCCTGCACGGTCATCCGGCCCCAAAATTAGGATTCCGTATTATGGCTACCAAAGTCATGCATACATATATACGTTTTAAATATATACCTATATAAACAATAAAAACCCAGATATTGTTAGTCATCGTCGTAACTCAAATGACGTGCATTCGTATTGGGCGACGCGACTGTCGAAATTTGAATTCCGTAAGTCATATCAGCAATTTTTCTAATGAAATGCGTACTAAACACATGTTCACGAATGACTTCCACGATGCAGCGAACCCGCAATGGCCACCATTCCTATTCTACCGTGAAGCAGTAATGCGTTTTGCTTTTTAGGGTGAGGTAGCCGTTGTACTATAAAAATGAAATTTAGAACTCGTGTCTCAAAACGGGTGGTGGCATTTACATTGATAATGTCTATGGGATCCAGTACTCCTATCAGAGTAAATTTTTTAAAAATGCCTTCGGAGTTTCTAGCCAAGTTGTGATTACGATCTGGTTTTCGCATAGCATCTAGATGCACACAACTGATAATAAAAAAGACATTAAAGACTTGTAAAAGAAAGATACATGAGGACAATTTCTTAATTAATTACTTAAGCCTTTGAACCACTGTGATATGTCGTTGTCGTTAAACAATTTTATTCAAACAGTGCGCAAAAACATCACGCCCTCAGATTCTTTTTATTTTATCGATTAAGTATGTAGAGGGGCTATAAAAAAGAACGGTGGCTTATTAACCGTTTACATAAAAGCACAAATGTGGGTAAATGCAAACTCATAGAACATGGCTTCTCGCGTTACTCTAAACAGCGTTGAAACCGGCAAATTGTCACTTTTAAACAGAAGCTTTTTCAATAGCAACACCACGAACTAAAAAGTTGAGCTACCAATAATTATAAAAAGTAAGATTTTTAACATTTAAACGTTAAATTTCTTGGCGGGAACGCGAGGAAAGGAGTTGTGTGAATTCTTTTATTTTTTTCAATTAGTGTTTCTTCAGGTTTAAATGTGTGTGATGAGGCGGCGCAAGGTGGCTCCTGTGCACCGCTCACAGTGTGTCTCCCGAGACGACGTCCTGCGGGATTTTCCCGGGGATGGAGTCCCGTCTTATTATCAGGATGGGTACTGGCGACGGCGAGCCTTTGGCGCGCACTGTGCGGTACAGTGGGTTTCATGGAGTCGGAGTGGTGGGGCTCGATGGGGTTTAGTCGATAGTCGGTTTTGCGGGGTAGCTCTTGCGTGGCTGACGCCGTACAGTGCGTCGCGCGCCTTTCTCAAGGCATAGTCTCCCGGCAGGAATTGGAAAAAGAGGAGGACCCCTGTCTTCTTCTTCTCCCTGTTCTTCTCTGGAGGCGCCGGAGTCCGACATAACCCTCTTGGGTCTCTTACCCCCCTCGACCGGGTATCCGTAAATGGATACCCAAGCGTTAAAAAAAAAGGTAACTTTTTGGTATCTGTCAACGCTGAAGTTCTTCCAAAAAGCGCTCCTGTTTTTCCAAAAACTCCATTGAAAGAGTCTCAGTAAATAATAATCACCATTTTACTGAGACTATATTTTATTACATCTCGTTTCATTTAATTTCATCTCATTTCGCTTCTTATTATAACAGAATTTAAGAAGAATTGGCTTAAAAGGTCTCGCAACCAGGCCACAAAAATTAAAAAAAAAACGTCAAAGTGAATTTTGTTGTGTTGTGGTAGGTTGTAAACTGTTAAAACTTAAAACTTAAATGTTCATGAGTTAATCTATTGTCACTAGAACTGATATGTTTATTGATTAGCTTACTCTAAAAACTGAGAATGAAGCCTGAAATAGACTCAAAAGTCGAAGAGAACGACAATCCACTTCCAGTCGGAGATGTAATAGGAGACACAGCGTACAGTGAAAGATTTGTGTTGAAAATTCTTATAAAGCTAGCCAATTTAGACACACTCAAAAATGAAATAAAAGAGAAATCTTTCGAAGAAGATCTTTGTATGCTCTGGGATATGACTGCAGAACGAGATGTTGTACTATTCCTCCAAAAACACGATAGCCTTAACCTCATCAACTTTGCATTGCCTATGATGGACTCACCGCGACTGATAGAAATTATGATCGGTATCGTGGGCAACATGTGCTGTCAAAAGGAGGTTGTGTCCAGTATCTTGAAGATGGATGGATTTTTGATGCAACTTCTTGAACATTCAAAGTGTGATGATAGTTTGACTTTGGTACAATTATTACGGCTTATAAACTCATGTCTTTTCTTGTCTAATGACAGTGATATCCCAATTTTAATGACAGTATTTGAATCAGTAGGATATTCACCAACATTGTACTTTATTCTTAAGAATTCATCACACAAAGATCTATTAGTGACTGCATTAGAAAACATGAATGCCATTTGTTCGTCTTGTAACACTGAGAGGCATAGTTCTAAATTCTTAATGCAATTTTTAAGGTCAGAAGCTTTAGATTCATTGTCAGCAGCAATTACAGAAATCACAACTAATTTGAAGGATTCTTTTCGGACAGATGAAATTGAACGATCTCTCATAATAAGCTTGCAAATATCTCTTCACTTACTCGGGTTTGATTCTTCAGCAGAAATCTACGAGAACAGCAAAGATGATGTCATTGTTATGATGAGACAAATTTTAGACTATTATGAAGAAAAATTAGTCATACAAAAGGAAATAGAACCAGATTTAATTGACATTATTGAATCAATAAGCACTATAATCAACATTTTAAATCTAAATAATATATGTGACCTCACCAAATACTTTGATCACAGTTACAAAATGTGGAAAGCAGTTAATATGATAATGAAATCTGACAAAGATGGAGCTACTAATTTTGAGCAAGATGACAAAGTTGAGCTACTGGACTTTACCTCTAAAATAAAGGCTCCTCTGTGCACACTTATGTGCAATTATATGGCAACATGTTCAGACGAAAACCTGTTAAAGTGTTTAGATGTCATTGGTCAAGATTATGATGACATCATAACTTCATTAGACAAAGAAAAATTACATGATGAAGTGAACAAGAGAACAGAAAAATACAGAACTAGATTAAAAGAAAACATTGATTCTTAAATAAATGAATTATGAGATTATTTTTCTTATACAACCTACCCTGATAATTCCTTTTAATAATTTCGCACAACATGTTTATTCACTTTGTATTTGGTAATAAATAGTAATAATATTATGATTAAAAAATTAAATTTACTTAGTCATACGCCTATGCTTTTGTAGTGACTAAATACAGGGTGTTAAAAAACTTTCTAAAGGTGAAACTGGTATTAACTACTCTGATATGGAAAGGAAATTAGTAGTTATTTACGAAGTTATGCATAAATACTAGATTTAGGATTTTCATATTTCGTAAATACCTACCGTGGAGGTAACTAACTGACAGCGCAACCTGTGTTCCTTCGAATATGTTGACCATGCATCAGTACATTTTTATGCTCTCATATCACAACATACCCAATTTGCAAAACTTGAGTAAAATTTAAAATTTTTAGTGATGTTCTTAGTATTGCGACAGAAATTTCTCACATCTCTTGTTTTCAAAAACATTCTCTGAAATGGCAACACCAAAGATTCAGTGTGTGAAGTTGTGAACGGCACACACAGACAAACTCTGTTAAGGCCATTTAAATGTAAACTCATACTGCACTAAAAAAATTAATCTCTCACAATACCAATGAACATCGGGGCTGTGGGGGTATTAAATAAAAAATAAAACGCATATTCATCGTATGGGATTATATATTTTGTAGACATTATAAAGCAACATTTACATTACCATAAACGAATTTTAGCGCCGCGACCGACGAAACAGTCTACATCTATTCGAATGTAACAGTACAATGTAACAAAAGCGCATCTCACACTCTCCGCAGCGGGACGGCGCGAAACGAATGCGCCTCTACAAACACACAGTCACGTCAATTTACGTGGATCAAAAAAAACGTACGACCACGCAAACGAAACAACTCCACGAATACTGAAAACGGACAATGGAGATTAATAACTTTTTATAACGTTATACATTAAATTTACAAATAACTCTAACCACGAGCCTACGCGTCCCTACATCGGGACATAAAACGCGCGAAATTTAAATATTTCGCTTTTTAAATATCAATTCGTAAATATTTAGATAATATTACATCGTTAGAGATAATAATAATAAAAAAAACAGGATAAAGACTAGACTTTACACTGATTAACGTTAAATTGGCTAACAGCAACAGGCCGAGGCGCCCGTGTGCGGACTCCGAGCCACAAGCTACCGCGACAGACCACATTCAACCAACATACAGCGTGGGCCAAGTCATATTTCATTAAAAGCCAAATTATAGAATCAAATCGAACAGCGTTATAATAAAATAGTCCGCACAGAGGCGCTTTGTAAAGGTACATTATACATTTAAAAAAAAAACTTGTTACCTATTCAATAAATTACATAAATAATCTGAATTTAAAAACAAGTCTTAGGATTATGATTATTGTCGTACGTAGTCACCTACATACGGCTTCCAAACGCTACAGTTGATAGCTCAACTCAGGCACAGCACAGGAGAGCGCCGGAAGGATAATATTTACACAAAAAGACAGGAAAAGCCGCGGGCGATACGAACGCGCAACTATTTTGTACCAACACGGATATGTTTCAGACGTTGTGACAAAAATAAAAAGAAACTACTCTTAATTTTACACTATTTTAATTTAAACTTACAGAGAAACCTAATTTTAATCCACCTACGTTTCGTCAATGCAGAAAAAATTAAAAAAAAACTTTCCAATACTTTTTAAACACCGATCCATGATTCAACGAATGGTCCAATTTTGGCACATGACCCATTGAAATAGGAAAATCCATAATACTATATATGTAAAAAAAAAACCTTCATAGAACAGTTTAGTTTATAATTTCATCATCGTATGGTAATGCATTAATAATGTTCTTAATACAATCGACAACGTTTTAAGTTCGTCAATGTTGTTCCCGTTTTATTCTTCTGAACGTTTTGAAGTCAAATGGCATCACGATTCAGACCACAGAACGCACTAGCGCCGCCTTTTAATAGATAAACATATATTTTTTTAATTGTTCTAGTACTAATACTGTCTGTGGTCTGTATTGTCAAACGGAAATGTTGCAACAGGAAGACGAATATATTCTACTAATCAAATAATTCTTTGGTACATTTTTGTGAGCAACGACATTCATATTTTACTGTTCGAGTATAATAATTAATAAATCTTAATAAATTAGAAACGGGACGGAGGCGTCTCGCTCTAAAAAAATACTGATATTCGCGCCGAATTCCACGAACAATTAAGTTACGTGGCGACCATTAAAATATATATTGAGGTTAGAATCATTAAGGCTGCTTATTCAAGCCGGATTGCGTTTGTGTCAATTACAATTTTTTTTTTAAATACTACTAAAGAACTTATGGTACACACGCGTTTAAGCCAATTGTATTTTTTTTTTATTTCTCGAAAAGTTAACGAAAATACAACAACTAGGATTATTTAGACTGAGTGTGATTGTACATAGAAGAAGCCTGCTCACTGGAATGTTGACTACGAAGTCGTCAGCTGAACGTCGCGTTCCTCCGCGCGGCCGGGCCCGACATAAAGCGGGTACGAAACTAACCAGAGTAGACACGATACAAATTGTACTTGCACGCAGACAATTTAAACACGAGTAAATATATATGTATATATAAATTTGTTTATGTATTGTTAAACAACCTAGTTTCCCCGTTTTCGTTGTCTTCGACGGACAGTCGTGTTACATTAGGATAACTACAGGGGGCACACGTCGACGATTCGTACGCAATAAATACAGGAATACATCTACACAGTCTGTGGCCGCGGCGGGGACCGGGCGAGGCGGCTTCCGGACTAGTCGCTCCTGAGGCGAACTGTCGAATTGGATCATGCAAATATTCGTATAATATTATTATTTGACAACTATAAAATTAATTGCATTAAATATTTCGTAATGAAACAGCGAGATCGTTTAGATTTTTTCAGATGTATGATACCCCGCCGCGCTGACCACACACACACCACTGCACGCGCACCGAGATTATTACACTCCGATTCAAGTTCATTAAGGGCGGGACGCACGCCGCGCGCCTACGCTCCGGCGAACCCGTACACCTCGAGCACTCGTATCTCGAAGTCTCCGCTGGGGCACAGCGGCGGGTTGTTGAACGTAGAGCAGCGGTCCGTCTTGCCGTACCTTATGTTCTCGTCCATCCATATCGCTTGGCCGTCCCTGCGAAACGCACAAGTTCAGTGAGACGACCAGTTAGAGTTGCTTGGGACAGACACATAGACAGCACTGGTTCGTTCCGGGAGCCACAGACACACAGCATGCGGTGCAGAGGCACGTACCCTCCGCCGATCGTGATCATTGTATTATCGGCGGCCATGAAGAGCGAGTTGGCGTGGGGCGTCTTGTCTTCTTGGTTGTCCTCGAGGCAGCCGACCCAGGGGTACTTGGCGCGGGTGGGCTGGAGGCTGCAACGGTAAGAGAGTGGTGAGCGACTGACCCGCCGCCGATGGTGATCATTTTGGAGTCGGCCGCCATGAAGAGCTCGGAGCCGTGGGAGAGCTTCTCGTCGCTGCGTCCGTCGGCGGCGCACCCCACCCACGGGTACTTGGCTCGCTCCGGGTAAAGGCTGCAATTATCCGCAACTCCTACACTGCTCCGCCTCACGCTCGGATACTTTAGCGATTATTAACGTGACCCGGGCATGTAAGGTGACGTGTTACATTATTAATGTTGTTAATGTTCTGAGTCTATGTAGGTGACCTTTTGTTATAATTGTGAAAATTATCATTTGAAATTATGTACGTCAATGTGAATTTTTATATTTAAGTGAGATACGTAGGCAAAAAGAAACAGAAATAATTGAAATTAGTATTTAATTATTAAGAAAAGGTAGGTAAAATAAATATCTGAATTGTACCTGGCATAAATTTATTTTGAATTAAAAATATTAATATATATATATCGAGGGGTGAAAATTCTATTTATGTGACATTTATCTTTGTAATAAAAAGTACGTATTATTTGATATTAGTTCGATGTTTTTAATTGACCTTCAATTAAGTTTACTATGAGTATATTCAGATGGCCGAAGTTTTTTTTCGTTAAGATAATTTTTTTTTAATCTTAAACTTTAAATGGCTTTCCTGTAAATAGTCTTACACCCCTCGATATATATAGAAGTCAGGTTCATAAAATACAATACATATTAAAGTCATGTTCAAGCACATCATGGCCCAGGTAAAACGATATTTTAAACTGATATAATTTACCAATTTTTTAAGTTATCATGACAACCCCAGGTACTTTTCAAATACTTCATATGACATGAATTTGATGTAATAATTAAATGAGAACTATGTATCTCTACTCTAAGCATCTAAAATAGAAAAGCATTTACTGTATAAACTTAGTATAAAGCATTTAAAATGAAATAAAAATGAGATATAAGCAGAGTTTGAAGCGTAAAGTATATAAGAATTACAGCCTTTACCTGAAGAACCCAAATACACATAATAAAAAGAAAGCAAGAAAAACGAATAGGTTTGAAATATCAGAAAATAATTGAAAGTAAAAAAAAGTAATATAAAATATAAGCTTACAGTAACAATTGCAGTTATCTACAAGTAATAAAATACATAACATGTATGTATGCAAGATTGCCAAAATTTAAATTTGCATAGTGCATTATAACATCCCCCAGCTGAAAAGCTAATAATGTTTGTGTTGTTTAAATGATTTTATTTCATTTCGTTTTTGCCAAAGCATTATTGAGGGTACTTTAAGTTATTTTAGATTGAACAAAATCTTGTCAATAAGTGCGCATAAAATCGTATATTTAAATCTAGATATCAGTAGTACAAATTCGGTTCTACATTTTGCTAGAATCGCGTTTGCGAGTATTCGTGGGTAGTTTTTTTACATCAATAATTCAAAGAAATCTCATCTTAAAATGTATAAGTACATTAGAACCAAATTACAATTTCAAGTCACCGATATTCGAACTCTAATGTCAAAGAATCTAACTATAAAAACTAAAATTCACAGGAAGCCAGGAGAAGTGTTATTAGGGACTCCTTTCAAACCTTGTTTAACAATATGGCGTGCTCACGATACAGCGTATCCTTAAAACATAATTTACGTGCCGTTTTCACTTTCACAACATATTATAGCTTTCAAGCTGAGGGATTTTACTAGCATTTACATTCAAAATGAACATATCACACCCTTAGAATCGAAGTGGCTTAACTAAAAATGTTTAAAAAAATGAGTTTTATATTTCGAACGAACTATAAACATGTATTCTATCAGTTTATACAATTCAATTTTTAATTTTAAAACTTAAATTTATTGTTTTCACATTTTAATTTTAATTAAATAAAATAACTTTTTTTTTTTAAATAAAATAAATAATTTTAATTCTAGTTTAGAAAAGGACAAAGTTCACTTTTTGTCACCTTTAAATCAAGCGCATACTTTAAGCTTTAAGTTGTGCGCTTTAAGGCTTAAAGTATTAAAATCGAAACTAAAAAGAATACAATTCTTCAATTACATTTTTTGCTTTTACAAAAAAAAAATTACAAGATTTTTGGATTAAGCCCTATTAATTCTAAAGGTGCGCTATAGTAGCATTTGGTTGCTGAAAATTTTAAATCTCTTATGTATATAAAAATGTAGTTTTCAAGAAAATCTAAAAAAAGTAGCTCCTGAATGCCAATATTTTTTTAGCACACACAGGATACTTTGATCTACAATAAAAATGCAAACCGACACTTAGGATTTTTTAAGATTGACGCGAAATAAAGTGAAATATTGAGATAATATGTACATGGGAGTTATTGCTGAGTATAAGTAAGTATTCAAAATAATTTTCATAATTCCGGAAATGTCACATAAGAGATTTTTAATTTTGCAACGACGATTTACAGAGTACGACCCGATCGTTTGTCCGATTATTGTCGTCCGGCACGGAGCCGGTCCGGTCGTCGTCGTCGGCAAACAACCGGGCGCGGTTACCTGAAGAGGAATGTCTCTCCTGTCCCGAAGTACGCTTGTCTGTTACCACGTTCGTCTTTCTGGTTGCGTTCGAACCAGCGCGTCGAACAATACGCTCCGAATACCTAAAGGTTTTTTTATTGCTTAGATGGGTGGACGAGCTCACAGCCCACCTGGTGTTAAGTGGTTACTGGAGCCCATAGACATTTACAACGTAAATGCGCCACCCGCCTTGAGATATAAGTTCTAAGGTCTCAGTATAGTTACAACGGCTGCCCCACCCTTCAAACCGAAACGAATTACTGCTTCACGGCAGAAATAGGCGAGGTGGTGGTGCCTACCTGTGCGGACTCACAAGAGGTCCTACCACCACATAATAACAGAATCCAAAGTATTTTATTCATAGCCATTATAGGCAAACTCCTATGGGTCCCACTCGATGTTAAGCAGTCCACGGCGCTCATGTAAATCAACAATGCCCCAGGGCATGGCCAAGCTGTTGCCTACTCTTCTTAATCGTCCTTTGATGTAATGTAAAAACACCGCCAAATAGACAAAAACGGTTTTATTGTTACTTACTTCATCCAATAGCCAAGCCAATAGCCTCTATACAGATCGCCATTATTTCGAGAGGTGAAAGACTTTTGGTTTAAGCGACATTTTTTAAAGTTAACAGGAGAGCCATTCAGAGTTTAAAATTTGGAAAAAATAGATCATAACAAAAAAAAACTTCAACAATTTGAATTGAGTATCTGAAGATCAATTATAAACTAAAAAATTCCAGGAAGTGAATTTGTCACATTTTATTATATTAATATAATTGTAAATAGACATGCTTTAACAAAAACCGACTTCAAATAGAAAAAAAAAAGATATTCCGGAAACAAATTAGGTAATATATTCACTAAAACAATAATCATCGAAGTCGGTTGGCGTGATATTGAGTTATTGAGTTATTATTTGTCGCGCACGTGTACTTAATGCAAATTTAAGACTTATATGGTTTTCTCATGGATAACATTATCAGAACTGGACTAAATTATATGGGATCACATAATAAATGGGATCACACGAGAAGCGTCAGTTTTCTAATAAAAAAATCATCATCAAAATCGATTCACACAGTCAAAAGTTATGGTAACATAAAAAAAAAATCATACAGTCGAACTGAGGATCTCCTCCTTTTTTAAAGTCAGTTAAAAACATGGATTTGTTGACAAAGATAAATGTGGCTTAAACCAAACAGCTTTTCAACCATCGATTTCAATAGTGACGAGTGACGTATGTTTATCATTAGATTACTTATTCTAGACATGACATTATTGTTATAGACAGGAAGTTTATTATTATTCGACGTCTCTCACCTCGTTGTTACAGGTCTTGATCATGAGTAAGGTCGGCTCATGGTGTTCCACTCGCACGTAGAATGTCGTCAATGAGCATCCGTGCTCCTCGGTCGTGTATAGCAACACTGGTTGGTACATCGTTATGCGAACCGGCAACCACGACCATAATGTGAACAACTGAAACATTTTCACAACAGAATATCAACGGAATTCTTTTGAAAAAGATCACATTTCCAAATTCACTATTACGTCTAACTAACCTAATTCATTCGTAAAACAATACTAAGGACCTTCTAAATCAAATAATACTCAATAATACAAAATACGATAAGCCCAAATACTAATTGACTTATAAAAAAAGTCATTATAAATTCGTAAATTAATGAACCAAATAAATATATAAACTAATAATTTAGATACACACATACATTAATCTGTTTTCTAAAATCGGCAAACAAAACTAAGCTCACGAGCTTACAGCCCAGTGATCGTAAGCGATCACCGTAGTGCATGGACAACGGCAATGCCGAGGAGACAACACATCAATATACACGCTATATATCGGAGGGTGAAAGAGTATTTGGTTTAAGCGTAATTTCGCTTAATACGCGACATTAAATTTATCTTTGTAATTAAAGGTGCGTTTTATTTGGTATTAACATCGACAGTTCGATGTTTCTAATTGAACTTTAAATACTGGTGTCTTTTTACTGGTGGTAGGACCTCTTGTGAGTCCGCGCGGGTAGGTACCACCGCCCCGCCGCGCCTGTTTCTGCCGTGAAGCAGTAATGCGTTTCGGTTTGAAGAGCGGGGCAGCGGTTGTAACTATACTTGAGACCTTAGAACTTATATCTCAAGGTGGGCGGCGCATTTACGTTGTAGATGTCTATGGGCTCCAGTAACCACTTAACACCAGGTGGGCTGTGAGCTCCTCCACCCATCTAAGCAATAAAATAGTTTACTCCATACAAACAGTTTAAGGAGTTTTTTTTTGTTATGATATTTTCTCCAAATTTTAATCTTTAAATGGCTCTCCTGTAAACTTGGAAAAATGTCACTTAAACCAAATAATATCCTTTCACCTCTCGATATGATACGACGCATTCGTTCACAACTATAAGACTGACAAAGATTCATCGCAGTAACAGAAAGAGATAATTTTTAAATAAAATAAAAACGTTTTTTAATTATTAATGATATTAATAAACAAAATTACGTCACAGTATTAGTGGTGTTCATTAGTATGAAAACATTTAAGTGAGCGAGTGTCGTGTGCACACCTACATACGTAATAATATAACATAACAAAAAATTTAAAAAAATACTTACAAAACGAGATACTACTTAATAATACGAAAAATTAAATACATATACGGGAAACATACGAACATTACATGCAACATTTAAATTTAAAAAAAGAAAAACCGGAAATACCTTAATCAATTTAACTACTACTATCTTTTCACTAACTACAATTTAAATATTTAATGCTATATTTTTAATACTGTTTCATGATAGTTAAATAATTGCGTTACCGCAAGTCCAGTACAAACTGTAATGTTTTCAAATACTTCAACAATATGTGATTTATCTATAGCAGTGTCTATTCCAAAAATAAATCTGTGCTACGAAAGAAAATTTACAAGTCTACAATGCTACGGCAAATAAAAAAATAAATAAAAAAAAACTATGGCGACACTATTTTTTCTCAATTTCCATTTCTTTTGTATACACGGATTTTACGATTTAAGATACGATCAGTTAAAAAATATATCAAATTTACGACAACTGTGCAATATTACGTGAACCCAAGACGATATCACATGCAACCTTTAGGATTCCGTAGGTTAATCAAAATATTATATAAATTTAAAATAATTATACAAAAGTCACTATTACAAGTGAAAAAATGTATATAACAGTTTTTCTATCTTGAATTATTTACGTGAAGTCATTTCTTTTTTCTACAAACGAATAAATTCAATAAAATCAAAATCAAATTTTTGTGTGAGAACCACAGATAATTTTTGTTTTAAAGCGAAGGTATAGATTAACAAAAATAAAAGAACCTACGGAACCCTAAAACGATTGCGGCTCACAGTGCTACCAAATCTACCCGCCCTCTGGATTAGTGTTGTATCACAACGTCAAGACGTCAAACCTTCTGCCTGAGGTCTGATGCCTGGTGTCGATCCTGGAACACCGCGTTAGGGAATGGAAACCACATCGCCATGTGGGAGGAGCGCGGGCTCTGCGAACCAATCACTCACCGATGATTTCTAAACATTTTTATTATACCCTCCGTTATAACAGTCTCGTCAATATACATTAACACGGTCTTATGTTTTGTTGTATCGTGTTAAATATTTCCTAAATCATGTACGAGGGAAACATCAAAAGGATATTTTAGTTTTATAACCAGCCATAAATAATCGTTTTTTTTTCTTTCTCTCGATTCAACAGGTTACTGATGACTTAAAGGTCTTTGCGCGTTACGTTTACGGCACTCACAGATGAAATCCCTAAGTCCTTAGAAATTCATCTAGAATTTAAAAAAAAATATAGCGAACATGCAATTTAGCTTACTAAATACTTACCACAGACGCAAATTAAAAATAATACTAATAATAATGATACAAAAAACAAGCCGTCCACTCGACGAGCTCTTAAAGCACTGAAGCTTTAAAAGGAAACAATATAATTACTAATAAAATTATTTTATATAAAAAATAATAATTAAAAAAAAAACACCTAAGTGACAAGCGGTGCATCTAAAACATCGAATGTCGCAAGCTAGTAACGGGGCGACACATATTTGTGGATTGATGCTCGTGTCTTACTTCGCTCTGGTCAAGAATCTGCGACTTGATCGACTGTATTGGGTAAACGCCCATCGACAAGGCGCGTGGGCCCGGCGAGTGTGACCCCTAACGGAAAATCGACACACGGTTAGACACACTCACACAAAACAATATCGTATATCCATGCGACTTTCACGTCACTAGTCGTCGATAAATATCCGTTGTTAATCTCAAGCTAAGACAATATGCGACTTTCACATCACTATACGTCGATATATATCCGTTGTTAATCTCAAGCTTGGGACGATAATGCAAATTTCGATATATAAAAAATTTGCTTTTCGTATTCACACGCATGCTCGAACGTTCTCGATTTAACTTATCCGTAAACATATCTTACAGGTACGAAAACATTAAAAATACATCGATTTGAAAACGAAAACATGAATCAACAAAATCATAACATTCAAAGCTAATGAGGGAGATGATCGAGATCCGTCCGTCCGTTCTCGTCTAATTTCATAAATATAAAAACAAGTGACAAAAATATCGAATGATGACATCGATAAACACAACATAATATCAATATAAATACGATATAAAACTCATTCACATGTCTCGGCTACACTGAACGAACATAACATAACGAAAGAAAGGTAGGATGTATCTTACAAAATTACGTATTACGGTACTGAGTATCGAATGTGTAAATGTATTCGATGTGTCTCAAGTTAGTCGGGTTAAATACTCAATCGAATGATCGTATGAGAAAAATAAAAGCCAAAGCCACGCCTAATGCCGTCTTGTACGATACCATCTGTTTGCACGTTTCCTCAGACATTCTCTGCAAACCAAGTAAAATAACAATTGTACTTATATATTGTTTTAATTGGACACCTCCGTGATAGTGCATTATTATGTGAATGTTATTTGTATACTCCTGTCGTGAATGTTAGATATAGAAGCTACCCGTAAGCTCATACATAAATATATATAATTAGGGACGTGGCTGTATGTTTTATCACATTTCATTGGAGACATTTATTTCCAACCAACACTGGTTGCCGTTTTGTTAACATTACGATCGCCATCAATTAACCCTAGTAGCGTTGAAATTCAAACCGAACCTTGTTTTTGGCGCCAACAAAAACAGTCATTATTAACGTAAACGTTACAATGTCTAAGTGACTCACCTCTCGTATGGTCAGCGTGTGTGACATCATCTGTATGTTGACCTGCGACTGGCTCGTTGGCAAGTTGTCCGAGGACCGAGACCTGACCAGCCTCGAGCCGGTGATCACTTGCTTCGACTTCAGTGTCATCTCCGTTTTTATGAACACCCGCGATATGTATTGCGAACTGTGAAGAATCAAGTTTAGACACAATCAGAACGTAAATAGATTGTCTTTTCTTTTCAAAACCTTTATTCCTTAATACACACTTACTGTTACTGGTGGTAGGACCTCTTGTGAGTCCGCGCGGGTGGGTACCACCACCCTGCCTATTTCTGCCGTGAAGCAGTAATGCGTTTCGGTTTGAAGGGTGGAGCAGCCGTTGTAATTATACTTGAGACCTTAGAACTTGTATCTCAAGGTGGGTGGCGCATTTACGTTGTGGATGTCTATGGGCTCCAGTAACCACTTCACACCAGGTGGGCTGTGAGCTCGTCCACCCATCTAAGCAATAAAAAAAACAGCTCTTTCTCGAAAACGTGTATCTGTCGTATCAAGGACCTGAGTTGCAACTCTTTCATCCATTTCATTTCATCTCAACTCGTCCATTTGTATCATCCGTTAAATGAAATCTGTTCTTTTTTCGAAACAAAATGGCAAAACAATCCTAAGTGCCGAATCGAGGGCCGGTTGCAGACCAAGAGATAAGAACCTAGACAGACAAACTAAGCAAGGTATACATACTAGAGATACTAGAAATATGTTGCGTCCACATCATTACTTAGGCGAAAGGAAAGTCAACTTCAATAAACACTAAAAGGGTCTGACAGCTAAGACGGGAGAAGTTTAGCTTAGGAATGATGAGTATATATAAGTAACTTGGCTTCACATAGTTCAACTAGTTCTAGTTTAGCTTAGCTCTTAATCTACTACACGGCGAGGTATTCAATAGTTGTTGTTCCAATAAATTATGACTATGATCTTATGTATCTAAGTTTGCCCCAACATTCACACTTTGGGGCATTGTTGTGTTTTCGGCAAACAAAATAAAATGCTTATCTATATATCTAAAAATTAATTGCCGTTCGTTAGTCTCGCTAAAACTCGAGAACGACTGGACCGATTTGGCTAATTTTGGTCTTGAATTATTTGTGGAAGTCCAGAAAAGTTTAAAAGGTAGATAAATATGAAAATGCTCGGAATTAAATAAAAATAACAATTTTGTTTTTCCTTTGATGTGTCACCCGTCGGACGGATTCCTTATGTTTGTTTTAAGTATTTATAAGTATTTTATTTATTTTATACAATAGTTTAGGACTTTTATTTATCGATTGAGGCACCACGAAGTCTGCCGGGTCAGCCAGTATCTAATAATTTTAGTGTGCCATTTCTTTAATACCTCAAGGCGCGTATGGTAAACGCAGTCCTTAGCAGCTTGGTGGGCGAAACGGGCATGTTCCTGCAGAATTTGTCGATGGCGTGGTCCACACCGTTCTTGGTGGCTTCGGCGTACCACTCAGAGTTCTGGTTCGTTGTGTGCTTGTGGAACAAGATAAGGATCGCCAGGGCTACCCTGTAGAATACCTGCGGCACCAAGATAATATGTTCTGTTAAAAAGTGACTGTGATCATTTTAATTTTGTTTCCCACTTAAATCGTACGAGAGTAATAAAGTCCAAATTTAATTATATGCTATTCCTATTCAAGGATAACTGAGATCTAAAAAATGGACAGGATGAACATCAGACATTAACCAAATGGATATCAACGATGTGGATAAAGTGTTATTAAAATCATAGACCATAGGGTAGACCATATTCGATGTCAATTTATACCTTGATGCCCTCGTGAAAGAAGCAATCCAATACTCGTACAAGGTGAGGGAACGGAAGGGCGGCCAGGATCCACCATTGCCAGTCCGCGTAGATCCTCTCGGGGCCAATGGCGCCGGAGAGCCGCGACAGGTGTTGCGCCGCCGACTTCTGCAAACACGGTCACGGAGTGTACGGAAACTTGAAATGATTATTCTTAGTCTAAAATCGTTAAGGATATCAAATCGTGACGTGATATCTCATGTTGTCCACAACAAGTCGGCGGAAGTGTATTCTTTAGGTCATGTTTTTCACTAAATCAATGACACGTTTTGGCTGTGCCATTATCCAATCGGCGACGCTCATGAGTCACATTAAAGAGCACTATAATTACTTAAGAAATTCATGATTTTAGGTGTTAGTAAAATCAAAAGGTTTGTTACAGCTCTGTGCGACTCTGTGTTCTCGTAAGCACTATATTGATAAGGGGTTGAGTAACTGCTTGCCAATGCTCTCAAGTTATCTGATGAGACTTGGACCCAGTAAATAACATCATCCCCGGTCGTTTTATCGCAAGACTACTGGCATTTAATAAAGGAAATTGTCGATCGATTTTTAGAGCTAACGTCAATGAACTCTGTAATTGTAGTCGATAAACAATTGTTGTGTAATGTTAGACAATACTATCGACGATTTATTGATGAGCCCGTAACGAGTGCAGTGCGCGGTGCTTATTATTTTATTGCTCTGTATTGCGTAGACGGGCGAATGATCTGACGGTTTGCCGGGTGTCGAGGACTTATCGGACCTCATAGACATCAACAAACCAAATGCCTTGAGACACCTATTTTTAGGCTTAGTTCTATAGAACAACTGCTGCCCTATCCTTTAAAACGTTACGCAGTATGCTTCGCAGCTGAAATAGGTAGGATGGTGTTAACCTGCCTATATAGGCTCGTCCCACCAAATCACCAATAGAATCGTTAGGTAAGAAATATGAACTATAATCATACTAATTTCTAGTTACATCGTTATGATTCAGATGTTTCTAATGAAAGAAATCCAGCCATGCTTTAGTCTTTTTACAAACGATAGCATATTATAAGTACATACTTGAAATCATATGTTTTATGGTGATCGGATATCAATATCGGATAACTAACACCCTCCGGACACACAAATTAATATTCTCGATGCCTTCATACATATTTCTACATGGTCTTATGTTATATATTGAATGCGCTATGGTAACTTTTGCAATGACATAATCGCCGACCCATAGACACAGCCCACTGAGTTTCTCGTCGGATCTTCTAAGCGGGTCGCGATTCCGATCCGGCGGTAGATTCTGCGAAGCACTACGTTTCTAGGGGGCTCTAGTGCTAGCAAATTCTTTCAGGTTGAGCCCGTGAGCTTACCTACCCTTCCACGCTGTAATAGCCCCTTAAAATACCAACGAATAGGTAGGAAAAAACACCTTCGCAGTGCCATGGACGTTTTAGATAATCGAGGCCTTATCGTCTTCTGTGCCTGAAATCGTGAGATATTCGAGCACTACAAACACCATGAAACTGTCGTAAACTACGACTTAAGTCAAAACACATAAATATTAAGTTACGAGTTTGAAATCTTGATAGTCATTTCTATAGTGTTTTTTTTCCTTTCTTTTCCTTTGTTATAATTATATCGACTGTATCGTATAATTCATGCGGGGTTTATGCTAGAAGTTTCCAAGTTGCGTGACATCTCGGTCGGTTCACCGCACATTACTTTACGATAACGAAAAGTGAACATTCCACGAGATTGAGACACGCGACAATTTATACGTACAAACAGCGTTTCTCAACCTTTTAAATTTTCCAATACACTTGTTCTTTTTTATCGAGTTATATGGTTGTTTTAAAGTTGCCTTAAATACGCAAATCTCACGCATATAATGTGATTGACGAAAGATATTATTACTCTAGATGGTCGAAATTTCATTTGTTTAACATCACAACAGGAACGAATTAATGATTTTCTACTGTAAACATTGAGGTCGTTGAGAAAACGGTGTGACTAATTGATTTGGCCTCACGACCTGTTGTACCATCACTAGTTCCCTAATCTTTTTTTCTGAATGAGGGATTACTGGTGGCCCAAAGGCCTTTCCAGTTTCATTAAGACAGGTGGGCGAACAAAGGCTCAGCCAGAATAGTTGGGATTTGCTAACAGCTACCCGACCGCCTCCGAAGGAGACCTAACAACTCAAGAGCAACTGCTTTGCGAATGAATTTACTACCGGATCGGAAACGCGACCCGCGGAGAAGAACCGGCGAGAATCTCAGCGGGATGATGCATGGGTTAGGTTGCACGTCGAACTCTTTGCCGAGTTCGACGAATAGGGTAGTTCCCTAATCGTCGGCGAGTGCAAGCCACATTTATTTATTTATTTGAAAACTATATAACAATGTAAATTCATATATGTACAATACGTTTATTGGTTTGATAAGCGGTGAAGCCCTCGAACCTCACGTACGTTTACAGGCTTAAAATATTATGTTATTATCTATGTGTATACGTATTACGATTCATCGATTGAAGATTTTATATGAAAACATGAAACTCGATTCATTTACGAGACACACACAGATAAAATAGTATTGTATTCCTAATGTTAGTACTTAAAGGTTAACTTAAATAAAATTTACGATGCTTAGTGCTAAAGGAAAATGATTTTATAAATTTTTGCTCCGTGAATAATATCGCTCGTGGACACACGCAATTGCAAGTCAAAGTTGAGCCGCTACGTTGGCCAGCTTCCTTTTGAGAATATTTCGTTCGTTTTCGGTCCCTTATTCGAAGTTCTTGGTGTGAGCATAAGTACTGTGTGGTCCCAAAGGTTCCCATTGCATATATTATTATGTATGTGTTGGCGATAATTATATTGCAGTGATGCTACGTCAGTCTCGGGATTGTCGGGCTGTCGATATCACGTTAGGTTGTAATCTCTATATATTTTACTCACTTAATTGAACACGTGTTTTATTAATCCTTGCCCGATGTTGAGACTCAACAGTACTAGTTCTAGGTTTGATTTTATGTAGAACAATTAATTGAAAGATGTATGTACCTTTCTTTAGGAGAAGCGTGATTCGCTATTTCATCAAAATAAAAGAGCAGCGTTATCGACCGCCGATAAGCTTAAGAAGTTAGGACTTGCTTTAACACAAAATATTTTTTAGTGTATATTTTCCCTGTTTTTTTGTGCCTTTGTAGACTGTCGAGCATACGGCCCACTTGATGGTCAGTGGTTACCGTCGCTCATGGACGTCAGCAATGCCTGGGGCAGAGCCAATCCGCTGCCTACAATTGAGTACTCTCCACAAGCCTCGTTTGAAGAAGCATATGTCGTAGTGCTCCGGAAAACACCGTGGAGGGGAGTTCATTCCAAAACCGGATGGTAAGCGGTAGAAAAGATTTTTGGAAACGTACTGTCGATGAACGCAGCGGTTCCAGATAATATGGAAAACTATTATTTATCAGGCACATAACAGTTATTAGTTTTCGAAATTGTAATCGAATTATAACATGGCCCGGCCCTATATTCAGTTTTATATTTTCCTGTATTTCCTTCCAACTGCTTCAGACTAACTCCGATTTAGAATCAGCCAAGAAAAGTACTGCGTTTAGTTACTATACTATCGCCTCACAAATTGCCTCAATGACAAGCGAACGTATATAGAATTCCGATAAAGAAGCCTCAGTTCTGCCGTGAAACAGTAACGCGTTTCGGTTTGAAGGGTGGGGCAGCCGTTGTAACTATTCTTGAGACCTTAGAACTTATATCTCAAGGTGGGTGGCGCATTTACGTTGTGGATGTCTATGGGCTCCAGTATCCTCTTAATAGTAGGTGGGCTGTGAGTTCGTCCATCCATCTAAGCAACAAAAAAAATATTGAGATTTCTGATATGGTCTAGTCATTTATGCTATAGTAATACTTACGGCATGTTTCTTGGCGATCTGCATGACAGTCTTCCAGGTTACCTCGTTCAGTAGCTTCGTTTGTGTTATGAACATTTTCTCCTTCGACGCTACCAGACTCGCCATGCAGTGGTAGCATTCCTCTTCTGCGAACAATCACGTTATCTACGGTTATATTACAGATACCGGTCTTATGTGGACTATTTGTACGAGTAATGGAGCATTGTGACGATCAGTAACAGGTTTGCCATAGTACAAGCAACAACAAAGATCGCATAGGCATACCTATTGACACTTCAACGTGATGTCATAAAGTTGTCGGCAATATCCACTTTGTTGTGTCTATGTACTCCGGTAACCACGTAATACCGGTTAAGGTAATATCCCCAACATATTCGAAAAAAGGGTTTCACCTTTATGATTTACCTGACGTACCTTACTTATCATGGTCAGAAATTATCAGTTAGTTAATATAAAGTTACTGGTGGTAGGACCTCTTGTGAGTCCGCGCGGGTGGGTACCACCACCCTGCCTATTTCTGCCGTGAAGCAGTAATGCGTTTCGGTTTGAAGGGTGGGGCAGCCGTTTTAACTATACTTGAGACCTTAGAACTTATATCTCAAGGTGGGTGGCGTATTTACGTTGTGGATGTCTATGGGCTCCAGCAATCACTTAACACCAGGTGGGCTGTGAGCTCGTCCACCCATCTAAGCAATAAATAAATAAAAGTTATATTTTGCGCACAAGTTGTTAAAATGGAAAACTTAAAATGATACGTATCTTTGAAGCGTACGCTATAAGGACTAATGGGAAATTTTCCAAAAATGTTTCATTCACGTCACGCTCTAATCGACGAAAAACCCCCAAGAACATTAATAGCACCCAATTACTGACGAAGCGAAATAAAACAAGACAAAGAAAACAATTTTAGCGAAGGGGAAAAAATTGGATGAACCCGACCGGAACATGACAAATTGAAGTGGGCGACATTCAATTTGCAATCCGGTTCCCGAGTGTACCCACCCGGTCTCCGATCGGTTTCCAATACGGTTCCAACAATGAAAAGGAAATGTTTTATTTATTCCTCTCGTCCGATGAGAAATTCACGCCACAATGCAGTTTAATTGAATATGCAATTTCAAAAAGGTCACATGTCGCATATTTTGTCAAACACGTTTTTTCATATACATATGTAGTTTTGAGGCTTACCTACACCCACTTTATAGTAATTTCAGTAATTTTCAATAGCTAATTAACACTAAAATATATCTCAAAAGTTAATATTTTAAATTTTATACTGCTTTAGAAAATAATCAGTTTTTTTTTCATTTCCTGAACATTTTACATTTTCAGAGATGTGCCCTTTTCGAAATTGCATATTCAATTTTTTTTAGGATTTTATGACCTGGTATTTACAACCTTTAGATCAAAATGCAGTTTAACTAGTTAGTCCACAGGCGCGTACGAATTCATTTATTTATTAACAAGGGGGCGTCCATAAATTACGTGAGGTGTTTTTTTACATTTTCTGCCCCTCCCTCCCCCTGGTGAGATGTCGTGAGATTTTATTCAACCCCCTCCCCCATCTCCCAATCTCACGTGAGATTTTTCAAAACGTGAGTTTCTTACGTAAACGCGTTGGATTGTTATTGTAAAAAGAAAAAAAAAACAAATTTGCTTCGTGCTTTTATTTACGACTAGTTATGACTAGTAATCAATGTTGCTCAAGATGAAATCTTAAGCATGTACAATCTGGATTAAATGGACCAAAATAGTCTTTTTTTTTTCAATCAGATAAAAAATTGAATATTTGCCGAGACCCCCCCCCCCTCTCTCTCCAATGTAAGATAGATGAGATTTGACTCGACCCCCTCCCTCCCTTAAACACCTCACGTAATTTATGGACGCTCCCCAAGTGTCACGACAAGTAAACTTGATAGCAATTTTTTTTAACATTACGTATTTTCACCTTTCAGATATCAACAAAATTTAATAAGATTCAAATGTACCCGACATCAGGTAACGGTAATCAAACACAAGCTCAGAGCAAACGAAAAACATTATTATAATTTACGCATTACATTACAGCGCGAGTTCGGCCACCGCGTTCTTTATATCCTATATTCCGCGCATTAGTTGTATAGATTTGCTTTGCATTGCGCTTAGCATTAATAATAAGAACCTTTTCTATTGCTGTCGTGTCTATTAACGCCAATTATTCATTTTTGGTTCAATTCAAATACGCCTTGAAATTATACAAATCCACATATCGAGGGGTAGGGGTAGGTAGGACAGACTATTTGGTTTGAGCGACATTTCGCGACATTTATCTTTGTAATTAAGGTTCCGTTTTATTTGGTATTAGCATCAACAATTCGATTTCTTTAATTGAAATTCAATTATTGTTACCCCATGCTGAAGAAGTTTTTTTTTGTTTATAATATATTGTTTTCCAAATTTTTAATTTTTAATGTCTCTCCTTTACAAAACTGCCGCTTAAACCAAAATTGCCTTGCACCTCTTCGACATAGTGTGGTTTTACATAATGGAAAACTTGAGTCGCATTAAATTTATTGATCTGTACACGTCACCATCATATTTGTTTTCGTTCGATTCTATTTATGTAAACGCCTCGCGAAGTGAAATGATTATATACAATATAGTGACGTTTTTACCGTCATCTCGCGTTACGTTAAAAGCGTTTGTTTTCTCAGATGTTTCGAAACGAGGACCGGTTGTCTGTGACCCAATTATGACAGCTGACGGATTGTCTATACACGCAAACGGATTGATTTCCGTAAAGGATATTGTTTTATGTGAATTTCAGGCTGCAGGGCTTCGTCATGGCTTCGTAGCAAGTAAGGAAGCACCTATAACTCATTTACGAGCAGACACGTGCTTCTGAACAATTAATTTAACCGAATCGGTATTAATAACCGATTGATTTACGATTGAACACGTTCAATGTAGTGATCTGATTATTGTTTTGCTGGCTTGATCTTTTCACTATTACACCATATGTAATGACATTACATATGTAAAGATGATACCTCCGTGGGTTTCAATTTCATGAATACTAAATAGTTTAAAACATTTTAATGTAGAATCGAAGTTTGTGTAAATATAACGAATCAAATGTGTATTCTAACAGGTTCTTAATATATATGGATATAAGTCCGATTTACTTGATAATTTGCAAACGCTTCAACGACTGATGATAATAAATATATTTTTTTATTTTGGCCTAGTGACAAGACCAGGATTGTTAAGATAAAAAATGATTATATGATTTTTAGTTTGGATGTCATATAAAGCATGTTTGCTTTTTAAAGTATATTTACTTAATATTTGTTGGTAAAATGCACAGACAAGCTCCAGGTAGAATTGATTTTAAACATTTGTCGGTGGTCATGGAAAAACAATATCAACGAAATCGTCCACTTAAAAACACGACGAAGTGAAAAAAATATTTTGGGTAAATTAATATTCATTGTGGAATTTTACTAAACGATCCATAATCGTCGACATAAAGAAAAAATGTTATTTTCGTCACTTAATTATGATATTAATTTCATAACATAGGAGAAAGTGTTTACAAAAATAGCATATATGAGTCGTCTATTATCAAAGGCGGCAATCTGTGCATTTGGACAACAAAATTTTATTGATATGTCAATACAGATTTATTTGAATATAATCGTCTCCTTCAAAGAATACGGTTCAAAACCTGCATTAAATAAAGGTTAATAGTTAACCTGTTATTTATCTAAGATGTCGTTCCGAAGAGTTTTGTGACTGCCGATGGAATACAAAGTCAATAATTCGTTTTTCTGATTTACCAATCATTGTCCAAAAGTCAGATTGCCGCCTTTGATAATAGTCGACTCATATACGAGTATACATTTACGAGAAACTATAATAATTGTTATCATTAACAGTGAAAAAAATACATTATTGATCTCGTCATGTCCTTGCGTATAGATGTATGTATGTATGTAGTAAAAACCATTACCTACTCCCGAACCACGAATACTATAATATCTTTTACAAAAATACGGATTGCGAGCGGCTATCGATATTGGACCCCGAGATATGGTGATCAGCTTTATAATACCAACGAATCTTTATTTATTTTGAACGTCCGGAACGTAGACATAAGAACAAGAACGAAACTCACAGACATTCTCACCCGGATAGACGTCCAAAAATGGAGATGGGCTGGACATGTGCCACGCCACCCCACTAACAAATGGAGCAAGCAAGTCACCCTCTGGCAACCAAGAGACGGCAAACGAAGTAGGGGTCGTCAAATCAGGAGATGGGAAGATGACTTGAAGCAGACAGCGGGGCCATTCTGGCTGAGAGTAGCAAAGGATAGGACCCATTGGAAGGAATTGGAGGAGGCCTATGCCAAAAGGCACACCGAACTTAGGGACCTCTTGTAACCCTATGTTTAGGAATAAAAAGGCTATTATTATGATTATTATATTATTATATTTATTTTGAATATAAGGTCCAGGACCATGAAAAACGTATGAATATAAAGTACACCGGGCGACTTATCTTTTTTTTATCTATTACGACACGTACATTTCAGGCATGCACTAAAGTTTCGCATATCCAAAAAGTATATTTATGAATGTATTATGAACCTATTACCGAAATGATACACTTAACACAAAAGAAATGTAACGAAAATATGTCGTATGACAAATTACAAGTGAATAATGTCCAAAAATCTGTTTAACTTTATTGTGTTTCTGGATTTTTCAATGATCCAATACTGTCTATTCCTTGTAATATAGAGCGCTAAAAGCATTTAATATGGAATCGCGTAATGCTTTTGAAGGATCCCGCAGGAGGCAATCGCGTTGAGTGCTAAGTGACTCACACCCTGAGAGTTGGAGAGTACGGGATAAACGCATTAGTCGCTTTGACGACAAAATTGTGGAGCCGACAATTGCTTTATTGTTCTACGTAGAAAACCTTTAGCGACATATTGAATTTAGCCTTTTATATTCAATATTTTTATGGAATTTAAGGCACGTCGCACATATATCCAGACTTAGTTTCAAACAGTGGCTTTTTTTTTTATTGCTTAGATCTGTGGACGAGCCCACAGCCCACCTGGTGTTAAGTGGTTACT